TTTATTTATTTTTTTTATTTCTTTTTTTTATTGGTTCGTTCAATAGTAGACATTTCTCTTATCTGTATGACCAAAAATGACAGAGTAGCATATTAGAAGTTATTTCCGCAGGAAAAAAATGTAAGGGATTGCGCGTGCGCCTCCATGTCATGTAGTAAGTGCGATAATATTCCCACACTTCTCATAAACACTTGATATGCATATAGCGCATAGTAATCTAAATTAACGTCAAAGTGAACCGCCATATAGCAGCCTTACTCCTTTCCATATGTGAGAGATCACGTGAGAGATCTTTGTCCTGTCTCCTACACTATAAGATATATTTCAGAAGCAGCTGTGGCGATGCCCAAAACAACAGCTTGGCACATTTGTCCAGAGAGACCGAAGGCTCTGGTTTGAGATTGTAATTAAGCAAGCACGGGCGGACTGGGGCCAAAAAGAGGCCCTGGACTTTTTGGCACAGAGCGACCCACCAAACCCGGTCCGCAACACACCACACCACACCACACCATAAATGACTGGCATTCTTTGCATTATAATTTGTCTTTCCTGGTGTATATGGCAAATAGTAGATCATTTGAAAGAATTTTTACGAGGGACAGTTTAATATCACTAAAGTTAAATACCTATATTATCAGTCCATATGACACAATGCTCTGGTATCGTCTAGAAGACTTGAATAGTGCAGAATGCGGAGTGTTTTTATGGTGCCGTTCTATTTTTATTTATTTTTTTGTCCTTTTGCAGGAGCTTGGCATCTATCATTTTAAGGAATAGAGCTCCAATTGTGGAAAAGAGTATACAAATTATTTTGATGATGAAAAATACAGTAAACAGTACTGTGAAATATACAGTGGTGTGAAAAAGTGTTGGCCCCCTTCCTGATTTCTTATTTTTTTGCATGTTTGTCACACTTTAATGTTTCAGATCATCAAACAAATTTAAATATTAGTCAAAGATAACACAAGTAAACACAACATGCAGGTTTTAAATGAAGGTTTTTATTATTAAGGGAAAACAAAATCCAAAACTACATGGCCCTGTGTGAAGAAGTGTTTGCCCCCCTGTTAAAACTGTGGTTTATCACACCTGAGTTCAATTTCTCTAGCCACACCCAGGCCAATCTTGTTAAAATTGATTTCATAAAATTGGAATCGAAAAAAATATCGTTCAGGAACCGGTATCGAAGTCAGGGTATCAGTATCGGTATCGATATCGAACATTTTTGAACGATACCCAGCACCATTTAAAATAGTTGTCTTCTATGCGAATATATAGTAATTACAGATTGCTGTGATCAAAGCTGAATTTTCAGCATCATTACTCCAGCATTCAATGTCACATGATCCTTCAGAAATCATTCTAATATGCTGATTTGCTGCTCAAGAAACATTTCTGATTATTATCAATGTTGAAAACAGTTGTGCTGCTTCATATTTTTGTGGAAAATGTGATACCATTCAGTCTTGGGTAAGATTAAAAAAATATAAATTTATATTTTTCTTCAACAACGTTGCATTAAACTGATTTAAGTGACAGTAAAGATATTTACACAAATTACGAAGTACTTACATTTCAAATAAATGCTATTCTTGAACTGAGAACCATTATACCAATAATAAAAACCATTATTAATAATTGATAAAAAATAATAACTGATAATAATTAGGCAGCAAATTAAGCAGCATTAAAATGATTTCTGAAGGGACACTGAAGACTGGAGTAATGATGCTGAAAATTCAGCATGATCAAATAAATTAAATCTTCTTTCAAATAAATGAATAAATAAAAAGCCTTAATTATTTCATACTTTTAACCACCAGTGTGTATATAAAATAATGCATGTGAATTAATAAGCAAATTATATTTTTACTAGGCCTATAATATAAATCACTTTCATATGCACAGCACTCGAAAGCAAATATGTACATTGTGACGAATAACGTAAATGGCATTAAAATCTGAGAAATTTGAAAAGGCCAGCAGTAGTTTGCATTCCTGAAAATTAAAGGGGTCATATGATGTTGCTAAAAAGAACGTTATTTTGTGTATTTGGTGTAATGCAATGTGTTCATGCGGTTTAAGGTTCAAAAAACACATTATTTTCCACATAATGTACATTATTGTTTCTCCTCTATGCCCCACCTTTCTGAAACGCGTCGATTTTTACAAAGCTCATCGGTCTGAAAAGCGAGGTGTGCTCTGATTGGCCAGTTATCCAGTGTGTTGTGATTGGCTGAATACCTCAAGCGTGTGACAGAAATGTTACGCCCCTTACTAACGGTTGGCAAATATTGCTGAATTGTCTCGTCATGTTCAGGTGCTTACATCTTACCTCAGCTCGTATTCAAGTCGCGCGCAGCGTCTGTGAATAGTAAATCCCGCCTTCTAAACTTTGATTGGCTATTTCAAACATTTTGACATTGACGAGCGCTTTTGAGCCGCTGCACTGAGCAGAATTTCTGAATCAAGTGGGCCGCACGGGCCATTCGTCTGGGCCGATGGAAGGATATACGTACATTTACTACAATTAATTTTTTACATATATTTATGCAAAGGGCCGGACCATATTGTACAGCGGCCCACCAGTGGCCCGTTTCAATAAGGAGGTTCAACCAACTCTGAGTTAAAACTTGAACTCTGAGTTGACTTACTCTGAGATGGGAAACGCTGAGTTTTCGGGTTCAGAATGCCAATAGGGTAAGAAAAATACGGCAGCGGCTACACTAAGTGGAATTAACATACATTCTTAGCGATAGATCCTATTTACAGTAGGCTAAGTGCAAATAGCTCTAGAAGATGCTAAATAGTGAAAATAGTGATATATTCTATTTACCATGTAAACGTAGCAGTTCTTTGCAATAAGTGTAAATAATAATTAGATGCTATTTATACTGGCAGATACATACTATTTGCACCTCAGTATTGTTGTACATTAACAGGATGCAATAATAATACAAGAGTGTAAATGATTATATTTATTACAATTATAAATGCTTTCATCATTATTAATCACTCGTTAGGCACTTTACTTCCACTTTTAGAGTATTTTCTTCATTTTCATTGAAAATAAATTCTAATGTGATGGGAAAAGTGAGAAGAACGAGCATGTAAATGATTATATTTATTAAAATTATAAATACTTTTATCATTATTAAACACTCGTTAGGCACTTTACTTCCACTTTTAGAACATTTTCTTCATTTTTATTGAAAATAAATTCTAATGTGATGGGAAAAGTGAGAAGAGCCAGCTCGGCAAAAGCCGGACTCGAACCCGATCAATCGCATCACAAGCTAGTTCTCCACGCCAACGCGTTACTGCCTACACTACTGAAGCCGTTATTCACGCGCGTTATATTTTAAGCTTGTGTGACATTGGAGGGCGGAGCTACTGTAAATTTGCACTTAGTAATAGACACTCCGAATAATCTTGTTTTCCATTTGCATTAAGATTATTTTTATTACCACACTGGCAGATAATTTTACTTAAGTAAAATGCACTTAATTTAGATCCCCCCTCTTATATAGAAAATCCGTCTTGACTTAAGAATTTTTTTTATATTTGTACTTGAAATAAGAAAAAAAATACTTTGTAAGAAAAGCATTTTTGCAGTGTGCATGAATGAATGAAGTTAAACAAGTTTAAATATCGCTTGCGCTTTAAAAAGGGGGAGGAGACTGAAAGAAACTCTGGGTTTACCGAAGAAAACCTACTCCCGACCAGGTTAGGTTCATAGAGCAAGTTACCTCTCTTTCAGAAACGGACTTGACTCACCCTGCTTTCTCGGGTTTGACAAACCTCCCATTCTGAAACAGAAATCCCAGAGTTTTCCTCATTTCAGGGTTAACATACTCAGAGTTTTCACTTAACCTCCTTT